ACATGCCCTCCATCCCAAGCACAGCAACCTACCTCTCCACCTTCAAGCAATCGAACACCTCACACTTGCCAGCCCTGTACTTCTTAAACTTAATCATGTATTTTCTTGATGCAATGAAGTCAATGTTTTTTTGTCTCACTACCTTAAATTCCTGTTTTGTGAGTTTTCAATTCCTACTCCTTACTATGTTTTTAAAAAGTTACACTGAATGTTAAACTGGAATTACTGTGGAAGGCTCTGTGATTCAAACTACCAAAGACTGTTGCTTGTTCCTAGGACCCCACAGACAGGCCCTCCCTTGGGGAAATCATCCGGAAACGATTGGTAAGGACTCAGCTATGAATACCCTAGAGCAGAGACGTGAGCCGCCCGTGAGCCGCCCGTCCCAACACGTGGAGAAATAGTCTGAGCCTGAGACTCGTACCCTGAAGTAGAGGCTTCGCTCTATCCAGTGTCTGGATATTAACAATGCTGTTTATGGCACTCTCAACTTCTGATACCAACATGTGTGGGAAAACAAATCAGTAAGCAGGATGTTTGTGCAGCAAGGTCAGAATTAGAGAAGGAAAAAGAAAGATGGTGAGGAATCACCTGTCCAACTACCTCATGAGTTCTTCCTATCCACAAGGCACACCTGGTTAATGGTAAGTAAGAAACTGCACACGAGCAGGGGTAAACAAACACTATTAAATTCTTACTCCCTAATCCTGTTAATTAGTCATCAAAAGCAGATTACCACCTGCAGGGCATTGTGCAATAAAACCCAGCACCCAGGGTGCCCTCAGACTACTCGGGTTGGAAGTAGAAGGTCTCAGTCACAGACTGTTATTTCTTGGAATGGGGCATTCTGTCCAGGTGGCCCACATCACCCATCAGGGCCAGTGTTTAATATTTTCAATTAAAAATAATCTTATATCACACGGATCCCTAAATTTCATGGACACTCTAAGTGGAGGCTTCAGTCCCTTTATATACCAAGTACAGAAGAAAACCCAGAATCAGAGGCATAAAATGCTCTCTCAAAGAAGGAGCAAACAAGTGTAAAAGCCATTTTTTCATGAGCGTCAACACAATGTTTGAGAATTAGTAAATTCAGCCAGAGTTGCTAAAAATAATGATATGGACAGGTGTTAGACTGAAGTAAGGGTAGTACGGTGATCAAAAAGGCATGCACAGTTAAATGAAAGCTGAAAGATACATATCCAAAACCATAGGTATCTCTGACCAGAAAAGCAATTGTGCTGTTTATGAAAAATGCCCATCCGCAGTACGGAAGCCTGCTTCGGACACTACATACAGCAGGAGACTCCATGAGCTCACCGACTCTCAGCCAAGGAAGGCCCCTGGAGGTGAAATAAGAACAGACTTACGAGTGTGAACTGAGTGCGGCCAGTTTATAAAAGCTGGGGGAACAGCACGGCGAAATGTGCCCGTGCAGGAGGCCACAAGCACCTTGAACTTTCACCGGATGTTTAAGGACGCATGCCATGGAGGAAGAGGACCTGGTTTAGCACAGCTGTTGTCCAATGCAGGGCAGGCAGCGCGAGTTAAGTTCTTCAGGGTCCGAAGTCTACCACGAATGTGTGACAGGGGGCCCTTCGAAGGGATGAGGAGGAAAATTTATGGAGAACAGCGGCGGAAACATAGAGCAGGGCAGACTGCATTCCTGCCCTGAGCATCTAAAGGGGTGGAGAGGGCAGTGGGATGGGGGGCACCAGAGAGGCGGCTGAGGGACCAGCAGCAGGTCCTGTAGGTGCAGACAAGGTTCCTGGAGCGCTCTCAGCAACTACCTGTGGCTAGGGGCGGCCGCAGGCTGGGGAATGAGAGGGAACGGTTTCCTTGTCTCTCTGTTTGCATCTTTCAAGCCAGGTGAAGGAGCCAGGTGTGGCGGCACACACTTGTAACCCCAGCTCCATAGGAGCGGAGGCGAAACGACCCCATGTTCAAGGTCAGCACAGACAATTTAGCAAGACCTTGTCTCAAAAGAGAAAATTAAAAAAAAAAAAGAGCTGGGCAGGTACCACAGTCAGTGGTAGGGCACCTGCTAGCATTCGTGAGACCCACGTTCAACCCCCAGGACCACAAAAAAAAGATAATAAAACTAAACAACTGAGTTCCAAGTTTGACTCTTCACTTCCTAGTTGCCAAGTGAGGATAAATATAATCAGCTATCTAACTGTCACTTTGCCTGATGAGAAAAAGAGGCAAACATTAATTGTGCAAGGGAGGTCCAGCTTTTCCTTGGCATCCGGAGCTAAAGGGAATTTCCTGCACGGAGCCGAGAAAGGACCCTGCTCTTCACCGCGTCTACACAGAACACACGAGGGGGTTTCATTTTGCTCTTCACGAAGAGCGCCCTTTGGTGCGCGCACAACGGAGGGGCGCCGTGATGCCAAGGAGGGTACACAGAGTGCACGGTTTCTGAGACTCCTGGTCTGACGGCTGTGAAGGAGACGGGTGGAGGTCCCAGCCTTCCTTCAGCCAAACCTCCGCAAACGTCATTTTTCTCAATTACGCCTCTGATCAAATTCAGACCATTCGCATTTGCTGGCATGTGCAGAACAAAGGCATTTTGTACCGTTGTGGGGAGACATAGACAATTGTGCACCATATGTTCCATGTTCAAAATCCAAGGTTCCACGAATTTACTTCTGTACACTCCCGGCCCCCGAAACCATAATAATTCTGATTCTAGGACATATGCATTGACTGGATTCTGTGTAACTTAAAAAGAAACATTGAGGGGCCGGATTTTAGAAGGACAGAAAATGAGCTTTGGCAAGGAAAGGAGTGAGCTTTGTAAAGCCAAAGCTTCAGGAAGATACTGAAGGATGAGACAGAGGAGATCAGATCTCAGGCAAGCATTCCAGGGGTGTCCGTGCAGGCGGGGTGCAGGGGTCAGAGTCAGAACCCAAGAAGTGAATCATCCAGCCCAGGCTGCAGGACGAAGGCAGGGAGAGGCCTCTTCCCTTTGCAAGCAGCAAGCAGCTCTTATCTGGTTGTGATTCCAAGGCCCACAGTGACAGCACACTGCGAAGTCTCTGACTTCCATTTGTCAAAGGGTCCAGGGACTGTTTATAAGTAACAAAATAGAGAGTTTACTGTAACTACAGGAGCCTTTCGAGAATGTAAAGCCAGAAAGGAAGAATTACTGTGAAGTAACTGCTGATTACAAATGAAGATGTGTAGAATGTGATTATCTCTTCATATGAGGACATCTGCGTCTTGCAACAACCCTAACGAATGAGAAACCCTCTCACTGTCGGTTGTCTGGGTCCCCCCACCTTTTACACAAAAGTTATTTCCTCACCCATCTAGGAAGAACCCAAGGAGGTTAGAGAAGATATTGTAACAAACCACGGTTTAACCTACTGTATACAAAATAAGTTTTCTGAGTAATGTGAGGATGGAGAGGATGTATTAAAATGACAGAAAAGAAAATGACAAGACCAGTTTCAGGCTATTTTGTTAAGCAAAGACTGAAAATAATAATGACTCACTCAATTCATGTGACAGAAGAACACGAACAAAAGCAAAACAGGAAATACATCGGGGTGCAAAAGTAGAGCAATTACTCTTTTTTTTTTTTTTTTTCCCAAAATAACATTTTAAAGCAGAAAAGCACTGGATCTTCTAGACCCGTAATTCACAATCACCCTGGTTGTCAAAGCTGGAAAACGATAGGCTTATCTACTGAGCAAAAAACATAGTTAAAAATCTGCGTGGAGGGCTGGGGTGTAGCTCTGCGGTAGCACACTTGCTAGTATCAGACACCGGAGGCCCTGGGTTCAACCTCCGGCACTGCAGGAAAAAAAGTATCTGTATTATGTCATACGGTTTGATTTAAGACTCGCGGCCACATCTCAATGTTTTCTGTTTGCCTTTACCTTCAATTAAATACATTATAGTTAAACCAAACCACAAGTCTGAAACAAGTTAATATGTCACTTATTAACCAAATCACTCTTCCCTTTGGAGCACCTTACAATTTTCTTTAGCACATGAATTCCACTTTTTAAACTGTGCTTGAGAATTTAATTGAAACAGGTTTTATTGGGGACACTGGTACACGAAATGAGCTTAACAGGGTCAAGGAAAATTACCTCAGTTAATAAATATTAGGAAGGTTAGCCTTCGCGGCTCAAAATGTCAGAATGCAAATATAAATGTTAAAATAAAGACGTCTGCCTGTGTATACAACAAGGCAGTTTTAAAAATCCAGTTAAATCTCACAGGCCGCACCACAAACACACTGTAATTCCAAACTGTTTTTAGATGAGGCTTGAAGCGCAGGTCACTTAATCAACAAATAACTAATGATCACCTATTAACAGTGGATTACAGAAGTGGAAGAAAGCCCAAATACACAAATAAAGGAAAAGAAGAAAGAAGATTCTGTCCCCTTGGTGTTTCTATCGATTCAATTCTCCAGATCCTTACATCTCAATGTGCGACTATGAAGTCGCACCGTACAATGCACCATTTTCCAAAACTGCAAAACTTATGGTTTAATATAAAAAATTTTAAAAGGCTGGGAAGAGACAATCTTGCAAAGTGCTCTAACACAACTTTTTACACCAAGAGAGAATTCTTAGTCAGCTTCTCACCCTTGGAGGAGTTGCAAGTTAGGCTGGGCGCAAGGCTGCCTCTGCCGGCGGACCCCGGGCATCTGCAGAGCCCCAACTGGCGACACCTGTACCCAACCCGCCAGCCTTCAAGCCACCGCTCCGGAGGCGCAGGCCGCGGGGCACGCCCCGGCTCACCCACCTCCCGAGCAGCCTGACTTCCACCAGGGCCGTCGCAGGCCGGCCCCGAACGCGGACGCCCGCCCGGCTCTGCGCATCAGTGTCGCGCAGCATCTGGCCAGCTGCGCATCCGAGGACACCCACATCCCTTCTGCGCCCGAGGAACGCCCTGCCCATCCACACGTTCCGACCTAAACACAGGCGGGGGGACGCAGCTGCGGATGCAGTCGCGAAAACGCAGCGACGCATCCCTACCTGGGCTGGGGAAATCCGCGGTCTCGGTCCCCAGGGAAGCCGCAGGCCGCCCGCCTTCCCGCCCCGGCCCGCCGCCCCGGGCCCCGC